TTATTTTATTTCATTTTTATTTCTAAATTATAATAATATTCTTATAATAAAGTTTACTGATTCTTGTTAAATGGTGATATTGCAAGGTAGCTTTTTAATTACAGTTTAATTTTTGGGCTACTCTTGTTAGTTAATTCGGTGCTTGTCAATTAATTAGTTTACGAACTACTTTGGTTCTTGCTTACTTGCTACCTTTTTTACAAAGCTCAAAGGCTTTTATAAAGTTCCTTTGTGATTGATTGATTTATTTCAATAATCAAAATAACAATCTTTATGCATCATGGAAATGACATTAACAAAAACCAATAACATATAATTTAAATGAAAATCACTATTATGATCGTATAATATTCAAGATTTGCTCATCTAACAAATTGTTTCTTTAGACAAATTTGATAGGAATCAGTGCAAAAGTTCAATCAGATGTTCACTATAGCATACCGATTGGAAATAAAAATATAGAATTGATTTATTACCAAATAAGAATATTTTAATCATTAGTTGTCCAAGAGGTATCCAATTAGACTTTGAATTGCTGTACAATTGATGTCAATTGGTTATCGAATTATGCCATAAATTGAAACAAATTGGAATATATAAATAAATATCAATCGGTTAGTGGTTAGGTCGAAACTAGATAGTCAATGCCAATTTGACATTGTTCTACCAGCGAAGCTTTCAATAATACCACTAGATTAATAATAATTGTGCAGATAAATTGAAATGAAGTTTTATAGACATAAAAATAAACAGTCGATCAATCAAATTTTAATATGTTAGATATCTATCTTTGGACTACTTGATGATTTTTTTTTCTTTGAAAAGATGATTTCAATATTATTCGTGTAATGATAATCCATTTGATCTTGCGAGTATCTGTATTTTTGAAGAGTTTCTTCACTCATAAACTCACTGGCCATGTCTCTTAATTCCACCCACTTGTGCCATTCTTTTTGAATATCTTGTTTGGTGGTTGTTGTCGTAGTAGCAGTAGCAGAAGCAGTGGTGCTGGTTATAGGTTTCCGACAATGATAACTATGATCTTGTGACCCAAAAATTTCCGCTAATTTATTCTTTAAAAGCTCATCACCTTCAGGATAAGGATTTTTTAATTCAGGAAATAATTCGGATATATTTGGAGGTCCATCAATATTAAATGTAACTTATTAGATTTTAAAAAAAAATACGATAATAATAATCCATTAATCAACAATGAAAAGATACAGACAGACTCCTATATAGTCACACCTTGGTACTGAAGAATTTTATTTAGAAATCACCGATTTGAAAATCACGTGAGTTTAATATAAAATTTTATGACTATATAGGAGTTGTGAGACTGTATATATAAAAGACTGAAAATGTAAAATTTAAACATACCAACAGCCCTTAAACCAAACCAAGGGCCAATCTCTTTGTGAACATTTAAAAAACAAACTCTGTTATAATAGGCGAATCCTGAATCTTGACATAACTGTTGAAATGCTACGAATTTTTTAGGTTCCAATTCAAAAGTGTACCTGACATCGTAATCGACTGCTGTATGTTTGTCGTTAATTTCGACATCGGAATTGTGAGAAAAACTAGACAATGTTTCATTTATTGCCGTTTCTACAGATTGCTTGGTGTATTTATCCAATGGATTTTTATCGATTTTTTTCTCGTCGGTCAAAGAAAATTTATTGACAAAAATTGGCCAAATATGTTTGGTATTTGCTATTAAAATCGATAATGTAGAATCGTCATTAGCGGAACGTCCAAATATTGGTAAAGGTTCTAATTGACGTTGCTGTTCAGATGTTACTGACGATGACGATGACGATAAAGGTGATGGTTGTTTTATCGATAGGTTATATCTAATAAATGTAATGATTATATATTGGTTTTCTTTTTAAAAAATAAGAGTTTTTCTCTATTTTTTATATATAATACCTTTGAGCAGGAAAAGGTATTACAATGTCGAACCCTAACAGAAACAATGTTGTTTTAAAGGCTTTGGTTAATTCTTTCCAATGGATATTATGATTATTATTATTGTTAATATTCATTTTATAAATAAATTTAATTTATAAAAAAAGATCTCGATTTTGATATGTATAATCAGAGATAGATTTTGATGATAAGATAAATTTATTAATAAATTAAATTTTACTGTTTGATGGTAAAATGACCAAAAACCAAATTGTAACCATCAAACTCATATAAAATTCTATCAGCTCTATTATAACCATTAATGGAATTAGTTGTATTAATCAAAGTATCCTTATCAAAATTCTTGTCATCTTGAGTTGCAAAAATTGTCATTGTAAATTTACGAGGCTTAAAAATAGAAATTACATTTTCAATTAATTCCACAGCAAATGAAGAATTTGCAAGAGGAATATTTGTTTCAAAAGAAGCGTAAGAACAAATTGGTTCGGGTGTTACATGAACATTAAAATAACTATCATCTAATAAACCGTTGGATGAATATCCACAAGGTTCAAATAAATAAGAATCTAGTTTTGCTGAAGGATATAAATTATCCAAGCCTGTCATTTTGTCTATACGAGTTCCACCCGTTAAACCTACTACATTCTCATCATTCTCATCATTCTCATCGATTTCATCTTTTCTACGATGAAAAATCTTCATTGATTCTTCGTTTAATTCTGTCATCAAAATTTCAATTGTCTGATCCGATATGTCGATCATTGGTTTGGAATCTTTTGTTTCTTTCGGTAAAGAACTTTTTTTTGATTCTTGTTGATTATTATTGTTATTATTATTATTATTAACATAATCATTATAATGAATGTGATCATTAGATAAAACATCATTTTGTGGTGAAATTAAATATAAAAACCAATGATCCCCATTAATTTTCCCAACTGTATAGGCTGCTCCATCATCTATTTTGTTTGGATTTTTCATTTAAAATTTTTATTTATAAATATAAATAAAGAATAAAATAAAAAATAAAATAAAATCCTCACCAAAGAATTTATCCAAGAATTTCACCTCATCATTCCAACTGTTATGAGGATGTGATTGTAATTCTGGAAACATAAAACTTTTTCTTGAATAAAAAACCCTCCAAACCTTATGAAAATTACAATATTTTAAGGCTGTTTCTAATAATTTTGGTAATGCTGAAAGCAACATTGTTGTGCCACACGTTTTCAAGATTAATTTATGTGGATAAATGAATAATGATGATTCGCTAGGAAAATTAAAAAAAATTTACTTTTTATTTTTATTTTGAACGTGTTGGTTGAAAAAGAATACAACTTTTTAATAAGAATAAAAATAGTTAGCTACCTTAATAAGTAAGCATCGATATATTCATTTTCAATAACACTAATTATATGACATTTTACAATTTCCAAAACCTCATCCCAAACTTCTTTAGGAACAGTTCTTAAACCAAGTTTACTGGTTCCGTTTTCATTATTGTGGTTTTTCTCTATATTTGGAGGTATAGGATAAAACCACAGCTCTAATAATTTCTCTGGTCCTTCAAATATTCCATTCTGTGTAATATTAACATTATCAGAATTATGATTATCAATTGAATCTTTACTCATTTTTTTAAAAAAAAAAATGAATTTTCCCGAATTCAAAATTGCCAAATTGCATTTTTATACCTTCCAAATAAAGAACTGTGTGTTCAGAACACAATTTGATTATCGAAATTCTTTTAGATATTCTAATTCGTTCATCGTGTCAGATTTAAACAATAAACGCTTTGAGAAAATTAACGCGCCAAAATATAAATGTTTTTTTAAATTATATTGATTGTTATAATATAAATTTATTATTTGTCTAATGAAAAAAAAGTTGAAAATAAATGAAAAATATTAATATCGATAAATAAAAAGTTGTTACAAAAATCAATTTATCTATAATATAATATATTTTGTGTAAAATAAATAATAAATAAATAAATAATTCAAATTTTTAAACATTGTTCATAATATAAATAATATAAATAAATGTTTTTTAATTTTTCATATATAAAAATAATTATTATTATAAATAAAATTGTTAATTAATTAATTAATTTCAAACTGTTGCTAATTTATTTATTCTCTACAGTAATAGTTGTTGTTGTTGTTGTTGCTGGGGGAGGAGGAGGAGATATGGTGGTGGCAGTGGTAGCAATAAAACTTGCAGTTTCTATTTCTGTTTTAGTCGACAAATCACCAATTTTTTGATCGCCCTTGTTAATAATATTATCAACAGCTTTATTTTTAGTGCTGTCAACATCATCATTAGCAACAACACCATTATTGCCGTCATCATTACTAAAAGATTTATTATTATTATTATTATTATTATTATTATTATTATTATTATTATAGTCATTTTTTTGTTGGTTTTTCTTTCTGTAATTGTTGTTATTGTTGTTGTTATTATTAAGATTATTAATTAAAGCAGCAATTTCAGCTTCAGCTTCTAAAATATTTTTTTTGGTTGCGAGATCTTGATTTTCGATATAATACTTTCTCCTCTCAACCAACTCGTCAATAACTTTTTCCACGTCAATATTTTTCAAAGGCACCATAACTTGAACAGAATCCAATTGTTCTATAATGCTGATTGACAATTGAAAGTGTGCGGTTTGTCTGGAGCTATTGCTGGATTTTTTATCTTTAGATTTTTTTTTGGATGTTTTAGAGGAACCAGTATAATAATCGTCGTCGCGATTTGATTTCTTGACCAAGATTGTACCTTCCGGAACATTGCTGGTAGAATCAGGTTTACGAATATTAATTTCTGATTCAGGTTCTAATGATTGAGCTGAATTATCGTTACCTTCAGTTGTATTTTTTACAATTCCATAAGTAGATTTGAAATAATTAATAAGATTATCACAAGTCACAATCTCATTTTGGAAAGCAGGAAGTGATGCTTGGTCAAGTTTATATTTGGTCAATTTTTCAATTCTCTCTCTTTCGTATTGTTCTTTTTTTTGTTTTTGAAGTTCATTTCTACGACGTCGTTCTTCACTTTGCCAATTATAGTGTTCTTGTTTAGCCTTATGATATTCATCCATAAGTGATTTTCTTTTACTATACTCTTCATCTATCAAACTCCTTATTCTTTTTTTTTCGTCGTTTAGTTCATTACGTTTCTCTTTATCCTCGGCTTGATCTTTATTAACCATCTCAAGTTGTGATTTTAGTTCATCATACTTTTCATTTATCTCTTTAAAATCGCTAAGTTCAAGTGATCTTTTCATTTCATCAATGGCCTTTTGATCAGCATCAATTGACATTTGTAGTGCTGACAAGGATTCAACAGTTTTTCGAGATTTTTTTAATCCAGAGATTTCTAAAACTAATTGTTTTTCTCTAACAAGCGTAATATTACCAGATTCAATTAATTTCTCCGAGTTTCTATAATAAAAAAATTGATAACAGACAAAATAATTAAAAAATTATACTGTTAACTATTTCTTCAATTGCCTTTTGTTCATGAAAATGAACGGATAAATAAATTGATTTTGAATTTCTTACATAATTTCAGCGTCAATATCTTCAAGTGATTTAAATCTTAATTTAGATTTTGCACCTTTTAAATCTTTTTTCTTTTATTATTGTTATTATTAAAAAATAATGATACGAGTTATTATTAATTGATAAAATTAATTTAAATGATCTTTTGAAGTAATAACTTACTTTTTTTTGTAAAGAATCATTGGTAAGTCTTATTTGTTCAAAGGTTTTGTTTCTAACTTTTTTAATTTCTGATTGTTTACCACGTAGTTTATCCAATTGCGCGTTTAATTCTTCACGTTTTTGACTTTTAGATTCGTTATTTACAAAATTTGCAAATTTCTCAGTTATGCTTGCCTAAGTTTGATTAAATTAAATTTAATAAAAGAACAAAATAAATAAATAAATAAATAAATAAATAAATTAATAAATAAATAAATAAATAAATAAAATAAAGCGAGAAGGAAGTTAAGAAACTTACCTGTTGTTCACGTAGTTTATCGATTTTTGTATTTATTTCATCTAAAGATTTTTTGTGAGCTTCTTCATCAGGTTTAGTTGGTGGTTTCAAATTAATTTTTTTAGATGCTGCTGCATCAGTGTCTCCATTAACAACTTTATCATTTTGGCTTTTATTGTTTTTTTCGTCGTTACTTTTATTGTTTTCAATTTCTTGTACAGAAGAAATAGGAGGCATGTTTTTTTCTTTTATTTTATTTTATTTTGAAAATTTTGAAAAAAAAAAAAAAAAAGAAATATTTTTTATATAGTAGTTTGCCCCACAAATATAAGTTCATGCAGATCCTCAAACCCCACACCACCAATCAGTGGAGGCACTAATCAAATTTGGAAATTATATAACAAATTTACACTGCCTATCAGGGCGCATTATTGAGATCCTTCCTACTAAATAAATCTATCTATGCCCTGATCTTAGCCACAATTTCCATAGAAAACTCCCTATGATTTTTTAAACGCCTACGACTATTTCAAACACATCAAGTGTTTGATTTTTCTTTAATTATAAAAATAGAGATTAATATAGTATTAGTAGTAGTTAGTATAATAATAAATTGATTTCGCCACCCAATTTTCAATATTCGTGATATCTCTACGATTCTATTTATTAATTGTTAATTCGTTCTTTGGTGATAGCAAAATGTAATTGAATATGGAATAATTGTCGTTATTATTTTTTGCACTTCCCACTCGCAATTCCTTCGTTATTAATATTATTTTTTTATAAATTGAAAATTGGATAACTAATGTTTAATAAATCATCATCGTCATCATTTATCTATTTATTTATTATACATACTATTACCATCGACACTATTAAGCGATGGCTTGGATCAAAATCTTCATCTACTATACGTATATTATATTGAAGTTTAAATAAATAATCACATCTGATTTTTTACTCGGGTTTTCAACTTTTCCTTCTTCCAATACTAAAAAAATAAAGCAATGAAAAAATTACGGAACGAAAACGTGACTTTGAGCTTTATTGAATTGCGTTCTCCTTCTGCCATTAAAAATATTCTCGGTTTTTTGATTAAATTAAATTTTTCAATTGATCGTCTCCGTTGTTTGTTTCGTCAAGGCGCGAGTAGAAAAGAAATGTGGCGAGATAATGACCATTTTAATCTAGCGGCCTTTTTTTACTTTACTTTAAAGAGTTTCGGTGAAAAGGGATCTGACTAATGAAATTAAAAAGTAAATGCTAAATTAGGATGACCCCAATGAAAAAAAGAATTTTGAATGTTTAGCTACGGTGAGTTGATGAGAAAATCTATATAATAATATATAATAATACTCACTGTTTATAGCGAAAAATCTCGTCTTTTCTCTCCATTGCCAAGGAATTATTATTGCTAGCCTCGAAAGAAGGTTCCTCCGCTGATGGTAATGTACAGGAATCCGAAAGATTTTCCCAGGTTAATCATGTGACAGTTGAAATTACCCTCCTTCTGTTTCTAAGTTACATGCTCACAAGGTGGGGTGTTATCTGTATCAAAGGAATACTGACTGACATCTTTGTTGGAGATACCCCTACTATTATAATTTCTACCGGATAAAATATATGTCTGGACTGATTATGAGGCATTTACAAACCCTCCCCCCTCCCCCACTTCTAGAAATCAGTATCTGCTATTTCCAAGATGCAAGGTTTTCAGCAGAATATGAGAATCATATACACACTCACACACAAAGAGAGAAGAAAAATTTAATGGTAAAATAGGCAGATTTCCAGATTGTTTATTGGTATCATAACAACAATCACATTATACAATTATACTACTTAAGAATAGATTGTTTAGATTAATTCTGAACTGAACTGACCATTATAAATTAATTGTTTTCTTTTTATATCATTAAAGTATTTGCAAGAAAAACTTTTGAATTTTAGATAAATAGTATAGATGAATAATTATTTATTATTTATTATTATTTATTATTATTATAATCTTAGATCTGCGATTTTGAACCCTTTTTCTCAAAATTAATTAATAAATAAATAAATAATTGTAATGCACAAGAATAATTGTCTACAATAAAAAATTTTCACAAGAATGCAGGTGTTGTTGTCTTAGTATTTACTATTTTGTTAGGATATGCAAATTCGCAAGAGATCTGAACCTTTGCAAGTTCTAAAGATAACAAATCTATTACAAGAATTAGCTTTTCTATTTAAAACCATCACATACTAAAATAAAATTTTTGAATTTATAGAAATTTGAATTCTGAATCCTGATTGGTTGTCCATCTATCATTTTGGGAAATTTGACAACTTGTTACGTGGTTAGAACACATCCACAACTTTGTGGAATCGGACACCCGCTTAATGTGACATCCATCATGGCTTTATCCATTATTTATGAAGGGAGGGGGGAGACAATAATGGAAGAAACCAGTGGAGATAAATGGTCTTTCTCGTTATACGAATTTATGGTAGCGGGTGCTGAGAAGTTTTGTTCATATTGATATAATGAATGTTGCTGCTGCTGTCATAGATCCGAGCTAGCCGTCAGTCAATGTATTACATAATAATACTAATATATTTAAAACTTAATTCGCAATTCGCGATAGACGGAAAGGATCGACATACATTTTAATAGTAAAATGCGGGGATAATAAACATAATAAAATTAATTAGTAAAAATAATATTGAGCCGATTTTAATTTTAAAAATT